TTTGCAGCCACAATTTCATCAGTTGGGTACACCGGAGGTTGATTAGAGACATTTGGATTATACGGAGGACGGTAGCTTGAAGAGGCTGGAAATTGCCTATTTTGAAATTGAGAGGAGGGAGGATTTTGATGCCCTTGGCTTTGAAATTGAGAATTTTGTGGGGCTTGTTGCCTCCACGAAAAATTTGGATGATCTCTCCAACCTGGATTATAAGTATTGGAATATGGATTATTCCCAGGCCTTGAGAACATGGCATTTGCTTGCTCTTGATTTAGATTGGGAAATTGCTCCGGTGTGGGGTAATCTTCTGAGAGATGGAATGGACTAGTACATGATGCACATACCGTACTTGCCGAATTTTGAGACAAAGAGGTAGAAAGATGTGGTGCCATCAATTGATAGAATTTGTGAGCTATGGCATCCACTTGAGAGGATTCTTCCCTCATCGTCTTTGGTTGACAAGGATTGGTGTTCTTTGCAGCGATTGAGGTTGGAGCCCTACGAGAAGTATGTTGAAGTGAATTTTCACTTAAATTCTCAAGAAGAGTCCAAGCCTCATCCGCACTCTTGGACATGAACATCCCTCCACAAGAGGAGTCAACCATGAGTCTATGTGGTTCAGTTAAACCATCATAGAAGGCTTGCACCAATTGCCATTTTGGAATCAAATGATGCGGACATTTCCTAAGAAGATCTTGCAACCTTTCCCAAGTCTCATGGAGTTGTTCTCCATCGATTTGAGAAAAGCTGAGAATGGAACGCCTCATTTGGTTGGTTTTGCTCACCGGATAATATTTCTTAAGAAATTCTTGTTGCAATTGAGCCCAAGAATTGATGGAATTTGCCACTAGGGAGCTCAACCAATATTTTGCGCGATCTTTTAAGGAGAATGGAAAAAGATGCAAATGGAGGGCATTTTCAGGGAAACCTCGCAACCTGATGGTTGAACAAATCTCAAGGAACTCATCAAGATGCTTATATGGATCTTCATTATCAAGGCCATGGAAAGATGGAAGCATTTGAATGGTACTAGATTTGATCTCATATTGAGCTGCATCAATGTTTGGCATCACTATGCATGAAGGTGAAGCATAGGTGGTAGGGATGAAATGGTCTCTGAGGGTCATTGGCTCTACATTTGGAATTCCAGCCCTATCACCATTAATTCCCTCATTTCCGACATTTCCTACATTTTCAGCCATTGTGTTAAATTCAGTTTCAAGTTCTCTTATGCTAGAAGATTCCCTAAGGTTCCGTCTAAGAGTTCTTTCAAGTGAATTTATGTCAACTGGCGAGTCAAGAGTTGGGAAGGAAAGCGATCTACGGCCAAACATCAACACTCACAACACAATCATCATAACAAAAATTTTTTATCATCAACTTCACATACGATGTTCCCTTTCTCCTCAATTATCACAAGACATATAAAAATTGGCCTCGACAAGGACCGATGCTTTGTAAAACAGAAAAACAGAAATAGCCTCGACAAGGGCTTCACAAGCTAAAAATCTCTAGATTAAACACATGCAAAATATTAACAAGTTTGAAACTAGGAGGTCAAGAGACTTACTTGGAGTCCTCTAGACTTACAAATTTGCTAGCATTTCCTCAGTGAGCCCCGAATTCCTAGAATCTCACAAGATCACTTAAAACATAAAGATGGTCAAAACCACACAAGAAATATGCACAATTCACAATATTAACAATCAAACTAAAATTAACCCTAGAACTTTGGTTGCTAAACCGTTTGCAAGTCCCCGGCAACGGCGCCAAAATTTGATCGGTTGATAATATGACCTAAATTTAATCAACCTTCGCAATAGCACGAATCATTGTAAAATAGGGCTATTGGTCGGGTAAGTCGAACCACTGGGACTGCGCTAATCTACGGCAACCTAAGTATCTAGAATCATTTTAGAGTGATATGGAGTGTTCATAGAGGATTTGTTGGTTGTCACTTAAGTTATGAAATTAAGATGCATGAACTAAAAACTTGCAAGAATTTAAATGAGATGAAATTCGATTAAAGACAACTAGGGGAGTGAATCCGTCTCCATCCCTATACACATGCTAGATTAGAGCTAAATTGGGGAAAAACAATATATAATGGCCAAGAATTATATAGCAACTCATGGTTGCCATATAATTAACAAGAAGTACATTGAATCACAAACAAGAATAATCCATCAAAGGTGAATATGTTTAGACTACCTAAACTAGAGTGTAGCTTAAACACATATACTTAAATGAAAGACTATCAAGCCCTTGACACAATGATGAAGCACATGAAGGTAGGGATTAAGCATACACCATCAAAGGGCTTTCCTAAGCAATGATCTATCAAAGTCACCTATCAACATGTCATTAAACCATTCCATAACCTAGTTTCCATTCTCACCATGAAAACTCAAGCAACATGATTAATGTAAGAGGTCATCTAAAACAAGATAAACAACTCAAATAAATCATTCATAGCAATATTAACATTCATTACAACAAATGAAGTGCTCTTGGTTATGAAAAGACCATAGCATATACATTGTAATCCCCAAAATAAAGCTAAACTAGATCATGCTTACAAGGGAGGGACTTCATCACCTCCCTAGAGGGTGAGTTAGTTACCCATAGAAGCTTTAGATGAAGGAAAAACCATGCCTTTTCCCTCCATTTTCGAGCTCCCTTCTTGTGGCTTCAAGAAAACCTTCTCTTGCTCTCCTCCCTCTCTCTAGAAATTCTGCCCTTCCAAGATATTTGATAATGAAATGCTCCTTTAGCTTTTGTAGGCAAGAAAACCAACCAAAACCCCTCAAAACAAGGCCCTCCACACATCTTCTACCAACTCCAAAAAGAGGAAATAAGAGATGAGGGTGACAAGGCACAAGTGGGCTGAAAATGAGGACTTCCGGAGGGCATTCTGCCCAATTTTCGAGCGCTCGAAGGTGGCTCTTCGAGCGCTCGAAGCTACTTTCCAGCTTGAGCCACTTTGGCAAAATGACCATAACTTCCCGCTCCGAACTCCAAATGACGAACCGTTTGAAGATTTGGAAAGCTAATTCAAAGTTCTACATAAACCATGTTATAATGAAAGTCCAGTTCTGAAGGTTGGAGGGTCAAAAATGAGGAGCAAGGTCGAAATCCATTGCTGCCAGGCTGTTCTGCGCACCTTTGGTGAAAATAGCATAACTCTTTGCTCTGAACTCCAAATGAAGCAAACTTTATGTCTTTGGAAAGCTGATTCATAGCTCTTCATGTTATATGTTTTGATGAAAGTCCAGTTCTCGAGTTTGCTAGGTCAAAAATGGCGATCAAACTCACTTCCCACTGCTGCCAGAACTTTCTTAATGAGCACCATGACATTTAAGGCTTCAACAAAAACTCATTCTTGCTCCTTTTTGGCCAATGAACCTGAAAATAAATATGAACATGCAAATGAAGGCAATCTAAATAAAATAAACAACTAATGGACTTAACTAATGCAAATAAGGGCGCTTGAATATGTAATATTCGACGCTTATCACTTATCAACCGTAAGGGCCGAGCCCAAACATAGCATAGTGGTAGCCCATGTGCTTCACTACTACCGCTTTTAGGCGGGAAAAGAAGGCTCTATCATTGGTGGTGAAACATTCTTTAGCCAATTCCCAAGTACTAATCACCAAAATCCTGTGCACTCCTAGTCAAATTGCGAAGATCGGTCCATATTCATCAGCTAAGGTTCCAAGGATTATGTGAGGCAGTTTGGACCCTGCTAATAAACGGAGGTGACCGATCAAAGGCCATGCACCAGCATCTTCGGGAGCTATTCTTTTCTTACTAGATGTGTTTTTGTGACCAAGTACTCTTGACATCTATAGTATAAAGCAAACTAATATGACAGTTGTTGGGAGTAATGGGAGGAGGCAAGGACAGATCCACGTTTAAGGGTGTGGGGGCAATTGCCCCCAATGATTTTTTATATATTTTATTATTATAGTATTTTACCCTTATAATTTGTTCATTTTCAGTAATATACCCATGAAATATTACATTTGCCCCCACTAAAATTACTAAAAAAATGCACTATTGCCCCCCAAAATTTATTTTTGCCCCCACTTACCTTACATCCTGGCTTCGTCCCTGGGAGGAGGGACTCTACTGTTGTTGATTTTTCTAAGTTGGGATTGGTTTGAGTATATATATGTATATATAGATAAGCAAAGGCATTGAAATAGAATAAGCGAACTACTGTACAACAAAAATATATGGGTCATATTTCATAATTTATGTCATGAAGTGATCAGCCATTTAAAATCATCGACTGAAAAATTAGTGGTAGAAGTAGTAGACGGGTAAGAAATTAACTCAAAGTTTACAAATAAGATGAACATTCAAATCTTCTAGAAAATCTTGTTGGATGCGAATGAGGAGAAAATTTTAATTGTGTCGGTTGTAGTGATGATATAATACCACCAACTTATTAAATACTGACACATAGTGATAGGACTTAAGTCACACAATCCTTCTCAACAGGTGTCGCTCTCATGCTCAGAGAGTCTTCCCGCTTCGCGCACGCTCTCGCTTAAATTCTCACTGCTTATGACTTAATTATGCCGCTCTCATGTTCCCGCTCTCGAATTTGTTCTCGTTCCCCTGCTCCCGTTTTATGTGACTTAGGGAAAAAAAGATGCGAGATGGACAAGGCACGCCGCACATCTGTAAATTTGGATTCCCGGTCCAATTCTGATAGAACCTATTAAAATAAAATATTTTTATTTATGTAATATGACACAATTAATTAATGGCATAAATAATGAAATAATAAAGGTGCAAAAGTCTTTTTCGGGAATGAGAGAAAAATATTATAGCTGCCACTATGTAGAGTCTTCAAGTGGTTTTTTTTATGGTCCCAAGTTGTGTTTTTTTTTTTTTTTGGGCAATGAAACTCCAAAGGATGTGATAATGTACAATAGACCAAACTGATTGGGCCCATATGTGACCCAAAAGTTAATTCGATGGTTTCCATTTTCCAAAATAGAGAGAGTAGAGCCCAAATATACCCAAAAACCCATTGCCACACTCCAATTCCTTCAACAAAAAATGAAAAACCGCGGGAAAAAGAAACTAGGGCACGCATAGTTCGTTCATTCCCCACTCTCTCTTTCCTGAAAATTTGCTGGAATCGAAATCATGGAAGCGAACGATGTTGACGAAGAGGAGTTTGGATTCTCAAGAAACTATTTTCTTGCAAAGGAGTCTGGAAAGAAATCAAATCGTAAGCTATCCGAAATCGATCTTGTTGACGAACAGGTACTCCTCTCTCTGTGTGTGTATATATATTTATATATGTATGTATATCAATATTTGCAATATCATGGCCCACAAAAGATAAAGTCTCAAGCAAAGAAGCATTTGCTTTTGTGGGAGTGATATTGGGTGATCCCAATCTATTCAAATACAGCAAACTTTTTAGGCTTTTGATGGTAGGTCCACTTCCAAAATGCGGAAAGAGGGTTTTTGGCATCATTGTTGTTGCAGGGTTGCGATTGTTGAAGTAATAAAGCAATTGGTGGTGAACTGGGCAGGGGGTGCGATGGAGGAGGCTGTTTGTAGAAGCATCCCCTTCTTGTTCTAGTACTGAAAATGACAATAGCTAATACTAGTCTAATATAAATATAAATATATATATATATATATATATATATAATGTATTTGTATATATACCCACGTTTAGAGATAAGAACGAAAGCAAAAAATGGCTATTTTTTTTGGGGGGGAATGAATTCTCCTTAGTTTTGTCTTTATTGATAGAAAATTTTCCCCGTTCAACACCAAAAATTTACAAAATCTTATATAAATAAATGAAAATGTCAAATATCAATATTGATTTTATTTTTAGGTTACTGTTTTTTCAAGGAAATGTGAATTTGGATATCTATATGTAGGATGTAAGTGCAGCTGCATCTAATATTGTGGGTATCTATATGTAGGAGCTAAGAGCAGCGGCATCTAATATTGAGCCTAAACACGAGAAGGAAATTGCAGTGTTGATAAACAGTTATAGAAGTTTGTATCCTAAGTGGGCTTTTGAGTTAAGGTATGCACCCACTTTTTTTCTTTTTTCTTTTTTAATTTTATTTATTTCTTTTTTATTATGGTTTTCTGTGTTGGTTATAATGTCCCAGGTGTGGTTTTGGCCTTCTGATGTATGGATTTGGGTCTAAGAAGGCACTGATTGAAGATTTTGCTTCAACAACGTTAACTGAGTGTGCTGTAGTTGTAATCAATGGCTATCTTCAATCAATCAATCTTAAACAGGTATACTTGATGCTGCAAAATGATATTGGTTTCGTTTACCTATGTATCTATGCAAACCAAACTGAGTCCAATTCTTTGAAAAATATTTGGATCCCGTATTTCCTTTAGTGCTAAGATCTTTTGATGACTATAGGGAATTTTATGTGTGGATTAGAATAAGAGGAAGAGGGAAAAAACATAAATTTATTGCAATATGTTGGGTGTTAACAATGACACACACAAGCACACATGATTGGCGTAGGCAATGTGTCTGCAATATAGTAGTGGTGGCCGGGGAAGAAGTGGTGGGGTAGCTGAAGCTCATTGATAGTGCTAACTGTTGATGTGCGGTGTGGGTGACATTAGGATTGATGGTGACATTGTTGTGGGGGCTAGTATTGGTGTGGTGATGGCATAAAGGCAGTCGCTACTAACCTTTTTTTGGGTGGCTATGATATCATGGTTTTGGTTGGGTGGTGAAGGTTGATACTTGTTATATTAAAATCTAAGAGCTTCCCAAAGTATTATAATTAGAATTTTTAAAAGTGCTAATATGTTATCAAGTGTACCCTTTTAAAGATTAGAGGATGGCCTTTAATATAAGGTAACTAGTGTTTAAGCTAGTTGGCTTTGGGTAAAAAATAAGGTAAATAAGAGAAGTGTTAAGCTTAGCAATGGCAATAGTAGGGGTGAGAAATTGTGCATTGGTAGTTGTTTTGATCAAGCTTATTCAAATCATTTTTTGAAAATCTTGGAGAAAACAGATTTTGAGCAGCATATGCAGGCTTTAAGATCATCAAATTGTTTGGGAATAAATACACTCAATACAGTGTTTATGTCATCCGAGAATTTGGCTATCGGTCATTTGGGTATTCATTCTATATTTTTCCTTTCCTAAAGTAACTATCGATTCTGGTTAGTGTTCTATTTCCTTTCTTATTCATCTTATTTATGTACTTATATTCCTATAGGAATATTGTCTTTCTTATTCATCTTATATATATATATATGTATATATATATTCCTATATTTCTATATTCCTTATTCTTTTGGAATATGGTCATGTGTGTATCTCTCCATCTTACAGTGATAACTCACTCTTGGACACATGGAAATGGTTTTTCTGAATATGTGTGTGTATATATGTATTTGTATTAAAAATTTGAAATTGGCTTTATATCAATTTTAGTTAACTTTTCATAAACTGATTATATTACTATAAGTTATTGTCTATTTGGTTACATATTTGTTCATTTTGTTTTTTGTTTTTTGTCTTTCTAGAATCAGGCTTAGTTGTATTTGGTACCAAAATATTTACTTTGTGAAGATTGTTCTATTTGATAAATAATTATAAATAAATAAAATTTGTTATTTGGATTGCGTGTAATCGTACATGTCTAACCAGTTGAACTAGGAAAGAGTGAAAATCCTTTGGTTGAAAGAAATTATTCCGGAATTTAGTTGGAGGTCAGCGGTCCGCGGAGAATGACCTGGAATCCGTGGTGTGTGCGGTAAACAAGTTGAGGATTTTTTTTATTTAACGTTGGGTATTGGGTTTTGACGTTGTTTTGGGATTGAATTGTGTTTGGAGTGTTCTATTTATTGGCTTATAATTCAATTTTAATTATGCTCAGTTCCTTGTGCGTGTATGGATAATGCTATGAACATTCTTACAATGTATATGATAACCTATGTATTGATTATATGGATTTAGAGCATTTTTGTAGGTCCAATAGCTTTCTTTCGGTAATGGAGAATTCCCGGAGCTCACCTGACAATGTTTGCTCCTTACTTAAGAAGTGTTAAGAGACATTCCTTAGGATTTTTTATTTTTTATTTTTTTAAAAATATAATGTAATGGATCAAAAGATTTCGTTTTTATGTTTGAGATTATCATTCTTTAGTTATTAAAGTTTGATTTAATAATAAAGGATTGTCGAGGCGGTTAATCTTTAATGGTATAAAAGTTTATTTTGTTTCATCATAAATAGTTCTATTTTATTTTATCACGTTCTAAAAATATCGTGGTGTGACAGGTTGGGCCTGAGTTGTAACTCTAACCCGCCCAACCTGCCCGAGTTGGAGCCATACATTTCCAATTCCTTTCTTTATAAGTATTTTGTCTCCTTGATTGATGACTATTCCAGAGTGACTTGGATCTATCTCACTAAGGACTGGTAACATATGTCTTTTGGGCCGCTTATATTGTTTCGTAGCCTAATTGTATTTATAGGTTCTTACCTTTAGCAAATATTAAAAGCAGAAATTTTATAGACTATGGCACGTAGCAATTGGGAACTTGTCAAGTTGTTTTAATGGTCTTGACCATTCTTGTAACTTAAAACCTTGACTTCGATTTTGTCCTGAATTTTTTTGTCAAGACTCAAGAGTCTAGACTGGCTGTTACCACCAATTCCATAATTCCAGTGGGTGTTACCCTCGTTGAGCTTACAGGAAGGATTCATAGATGTACAACTCGCTTCCTATGATCCGGTTCTCCGGGGCCATACTTATCACCTCCTTCCCCGATTACAAAATGACTTACCTACAGCAAAAGCGAAGTACCAAGGGGAACTATTGTTCTTGGAGCCACTTCTCTATAATCCACAACACCAGTTGCAGAAAGATTAGGGGACCCCCTGCTTGAAGCTGTACAGCTGAAGTGATACCTCTGTCACAACCAAAAAAGACCTGCCGGGTTTGCACATAAACAGCCCGCACCTCTACATATCTATCCTACCCTTTAAGTGGGACGCTCTTTTCCTGGGTAAAATGCTGCATCTGTGGGCTTAATTTGATTCTTTTAGTATGTGCAAAGAACTTGTTTTGTTCTTTAGCATAGCCACTTATTATGGAGCTATGTTTGTTGGTCCTTAATGACTAAGATTCTACCTTGTGTTATATTTGAGTGTTGTTCTTTTCTTTTTCTTTTTCTTTTTTTTTTCTTTTTTTTTTCTCTGATAAATAGTTATATCTAAGTGTTATATTAACTTGTTTTTAGAGTAGATGATGATTTATCAGTATAAATCTATGATTCTATTGTTATACTTAGTCATCCTCGTCTTTCCAGGACTCATTTGTAAATTTTCTTTGTTAAATTGACTATTTTACCTTATAAGTGATAAGCATATTCGCCCCACTCAACTTGATTGTATTTTCCTCAAAATTTTAGTTATTTGACTTGAAATGAATCTTTCCCATCTCCTTGTGTGGGTGGGACATATATACTGGGTAATTTGCTTTCTTTATTTGACTCAAAAGGGAGAGCCGGAGAGGTCATTGCTTGGTGCAATGGTAAAGGCTTAGACTGACAAATCCGAGGTTATGGCTTCAAATCCAAGAGCAGTCTTTGTTGCTAAATAATGCCAAAGGTAAGGTCTATCTCCATTCTTCCCCTCTCAACATACCGCATAGGTGGAACATGTTCTGGGTAATGGACTTAATTTCTTTCTTTGACTCGAGGGCTCAATGTAAGTGCTATCTATTGACTACTTTTTGTCATCATTTATTCCAATGACAAATCATGAATGTTTAACTTGTAGGTTTTGATAGCTTTAGCCGAAGTTTTATGGGATCAATTGAAAACCCAGCGAAGAACTCCTTTGGCTAAAGATCAACAGCCATTTAATGCCCGATCAGTGGATGATCTTCTTGCTTTTCTGGATGGACCACACATGGAGGGAGATGGATGTTTTGTTTGTATAGTCATTCATAATATTGATGGTCCTGGATTGCGAGACTCTGAGACTCAACAATATCTTGCAAAAATAGCTGCTTGTTCTCATGTTCGCATTGTTGCTTCTATCGACCATGTGAATGCACCTCTTTGTAAGTACATCTATTTCATAGATAATCAATTAGCAATTGGCAATTGTTGCGGACCATTTCTTTAATCTCTCTCTCTATTTTTTTTTCCTTGAGATGCTTCAATTAAATTGTCTCATAAAATTTTGTCAGTTAATGTACCTTTGTGGTAGTGGTCCTTAATACGAGTATTTAAATATTTTCATGTTATATTGTACTTGACCCCTTCTCCAGAAATATCCATACATGTATAGATAAACCCAGTGCTTAAAATGGCCGTGTAATTTTAGAAGAAGATGGTTGGATGGATGGTATGGATAAACTTTGTGCTTAAAATGGCCATTTGAAGTGACCCTTGCCTGCTACTAGAGTACAAAACCTTGTCCTTTAATTCTATACTGTTTGCTATTTTAATCTGTCTACATAAAGGGGTCTGAAGTAGTAGCGTTATCAAATATTCGATTATTCTTATTAATGTATCCAGTTGTTGAGCCTAATATTACCGTGTTGGGTTTGATGCAAGTGTGGGATAAGAAGATGGTTCACACACAGTTTAACTGGTGTTGGTACCATGTCGCTACCTTTGCACCATACAAGGTTGAAGGAATTTTCTTCCCTTTGATTCTTGCACATGGTGGCACTGCCCAAACTGTGAAAACAGCTTCAATAGTTTTACAGAGTTTGACACCTAATGCCCAGAGTGTGTTTAAAGTCCTAGCAGACCATCAACTTGCTCATCCTGATGAAGAAGGCAAGTAGCCAGACCTACTTTGGAGAAATTGTCGTTTTCAACTTGAATGTATCATTCATGTCTCATTTTTTCTTTCTCAGGGATGCCAGTCAATGAATTGTACACAATCTGTCGAGAGCGCTTCCTCGTGAGTAGCCAGGTGACATTAAATTCCCATTTGACAGAATTCAAAGATCATGAGTTGGTCAAGACCAGAAGGCATTCTGATGGCCAAGACTGCTTGTACATTCCTTTGACAACTGAAGCACTTGAAAAAGTGGTATCAGAGATGAGTCAGTAAGATTCATTATGCCGTGGCCAGTGGTAAATATTTTTTAATCTATAAATGGACTTCATCTGCAGCACCGGTGCTAGGTCGGCTAGCAGAAATTCCCCTTCGATTCAAATTGGCTGTGATGCCAAAATTGGTAATTCTGCATTCTATTTTCTATAATGATGCGAGCTACATTGTGCTTAGGGTGCATTTTCCTCATCTTGGACTGGTTACAGCTCAGACATTCATCGTTCAGATGCTACCGCTGCCAAATCCTTCTGTGAAGAACGAGTTTGTTGATCTCTGGTACCTTTCCAATGCTATCATCGTCGCATACTTGCAACTTTAGGCTGGTTCTATCTTTGTGGAAAAACAAATCTGCCCCTGCAATCTACTGTTTAGTATGTAAACACATTTTAACTCTGGTGTAGCAATATGATGAGTAATGGTTGTGGCTATTTCCATTGAGCAAACGAGAAGCATGTTCTTGCAAATTTAAGGCTCTGTTTGTAAGTAAAATATATTTTAGATTTCTTACAAAAATGACTTATCGAAAAAACTTCCACAAGTCATTTTCCATTTCCAATCCCTATTGATATCGATTACCGACCTTGACAACTCTTCTGGCGAACCCTTCTCTTTGTGAGAACCTGTGTCTCTCTCTATTGTCTCTCTTCACTATGAAACCCTAAACCTTCGCCCGAACACTTGCCCCGGACCTTCGACCTCCTCTCAATTCAATCCCCAAAGTGATGCAAAACGACGTCAATTAGGGTTGGTCGTGTTCATCATATGGTAGAACTTGTTTCCAATCCCCATGTTCTTTGAATTATTTCTCTAGTTTCTATTCAAAAGGAACATATAACGGCTAGCTGAAATTATAATGACTTGTAAAAGGAAATTCTAGATGACGAGTATGTGAGAGGGTGGAGGATTCTGGACATTGCTTGAAGTGGTAATGGTGGGAGTCACCCTGCAACCTTCATGACTGAAGACCCTTTTATTCACAATCTCACAACAATAAAAGTTCATTCGCATGCATGTATCTATATGTGTATATATATAAAACGACATTTGACATTATTCTTCAAAGACACGAGTTTTACTCTGTTGCACTGCCTCCTCTCCTCAGTACCTTTCCCTCCGGTTAGAGCATCGAGTCTTGAGGCTAGATGTTGTAAGGGGAACTTGTCCCACACTAGATCCGGATGAAAAATGTATGATTATAAATGGGTAGGTATGTAGTACTACCTAATAGTTTAAATTTTTTGATAAATGGGCAAGCGTCCACCCGTTATATTTAATATCAGAGCCAGATTCAGTCCTTGATCCGGTGTCACGCCAAGCGTCCGGTCTGGAAGGCGTCTGAGTGCCTGCACTAGGCACTCCGGGCAGGCAGGGTGGCCCGACCGCAACAAGGGTATTGCAAGTTCGGATGGGAGAGAATATTATAAGAAGGAACTTGTCCTACATCGAATCTGGATAGAAAAATGTATGAATATAAATGGGTGGGTATACAATACTATTTAATAGTTTAAGGGCAAGCACCCATCCAATACATAGTCTAAAAATCTTTATATATATATATATATATATATATATATATATATATATGTATATTTTTGATATAAAAATCTAAAAACTTAAGCATATAAAATTCTAAAAACTTAATGTAAATTTGTTAAAATTATAAACAAATTCATTAAAAATTAATTCTTCAAAGTATTGATATACAATGAATTAAGATTTAAACAAAAAAGAAGTTGAAGAGAAAAGGGTGATCCTAATTTATATATATAGTATATTTAAAATTAACAAATATATATAAAAAAATTTAAATTAAGTTTGAATTTAGATTTTTAACCCAAAAAATGGGACTGAAGGCAAATTAAAAATTATGGCTATGATGTTTGGTTGCGGTTATAAAAATGACATCATAAACTTATAAAAATGCAGTAAAGTCCACAATTGAGAATTGAGATTTTTTATTACAAACGTGAAAGGCAATAGAAGTACGTACCATAGTTAGTAAAATACAGAACGAAAAAAATACGAGTACAAAAACATACGAGTATAATTTGATATATATTTTTTTAAAATATATTTAAAAAATTCGGCAAAAAAATACAGAGAAGTAAAAATATGAATACGAATAGGTACGTGTATAATACGTTATATACATTAAAAATTCAGAATAAAAAATTCGGCTATATACACCTTATTATTTTCTTATATATATATATATAAATATATTTACAAGGACAATAAAGAATATGTAACAACTAATAAAATAAATATATTACAATTGATACTATCACAATAATCATAAAAAAAAAATTAATAAGTATATAATGTGATATTCTACCAAAACATCTAGGAGTGTGCTAATCTATAAACTTCTAAAATAATAATAATAATAATAATAATAATAAAGATATTAATAAAATTTAAAAGATCTTACAACAAAACAAAAAATCTATCTACAAATATCAATAAAAACTTATGATTCTTCAAGATTATAGTGTTTCACAAATAAATAAAAACTTATGATTGTTTTGATTAAAGATCATAATTGGAGTGACAACAATAAGAGATTGCACAACGAATAACATTATTTTAATGGCTTGAAAGATAATGGCTATACCAAGTAAAAGAGGGTAGAAAAGACAATAGTTTGCATAATAAATAACATTATTTTAATGGTTTCAAAAACAATGGCTATACCAAACAAAAGATGGTAAAAAAGACAATAATTTGTGTACCAGAAAAATATGATATTAGAAACGTGAAGTTCGTAAACGAAAAAAAATAATCCGGTTACGAATTAAATAGAGTCACGAAATACGGGGTGATGGAAAAAAATTCATATTTTACTGCAAACGAAAGTATTTTTTAAAATTCATACGTACACGTTTAATTCGTGTATTATACGTGAATTAACTAATTAGGATGTACAGCACAGAAAAAATATTAAAAATTCTTTCCAGCTCTTAAATGTGGTAGGGCCCACCACCACATCCATGTTCAATACCATAGTACCCTGGATGCTTTCTTGTACCACACATACCGTTGGACACTTCATTAAAATGAATAAGAGAAAATGTGAGTTTCATTTTTGTCATTAGAGTTTGAATTAAATTGAAAAATTACGAACTTGAACTTAATTTAGGTTTCACTTGAATTAAGATGTCCACAATCCTATTTTAAACCCTTTTATTTATTTATTTATTTATTTATTTATTTATTTCTATTTTTGCTTTAGTTTATTTTTAAAAACCTTGATTTATAATATACTAATCCCTTGAAAATTAATCTCTTATGAAATTATTCATTACCGTTTGTCTGAATGCAAAATATTTTTTTTATTGTTTTGTTCTCGTAAAATATTTATGAAGAAAAAAATATTAAAATTTTTCAAAAATAATTTATTCATTAATCTTTGATAAATTATTTTACACGCTCATCAAAAATCTTATAGCCTAACGATATTTTCTCGATCTCTCACACTAAATGATGAGAGTTTTAATTCTCAAAGAAATGAAATGAGTATGTAAGCAAAGTGTCGTGTGTTTCTTGCGGAGAGCTAAATAATTCTGAGATCAACTCGATTGCTTATATATAGTTCAACCCATGTTCAATTTATTTATTTATTTCTATTTATTTTTTGAGGATTCAATCTTATCCTGAAAAAATTAGCATTATGTCACATCAAATATTAGGTCATTTAAATTTGTTTTGCAACAAATCGGCATGTTTGACAACTGGACATGTTCACCGCGCGCCGTGTGTTGTGGGAGTTAAACAAAATTTCCAAGAAAGAGAAAAAAATGCAAATGCAGGATTGCACATGCACTCTCCAAAGGTGACAGCATATGCAGACATGTGGTTGGACACACAATTATATATGCTAACAGCTATTACCGCATGCCATGACCACATATCCAAAAACACATACTCACACTAGCAATATATACTTTATATATACAACCTATATATATACAACTTTAAATATTTGGGAGACTATTGTGTTGTATTGTTAACTGTTAAGTTCATGCCTACCATGTCTGGAAATGTTCTATGGCTTGGGATGAAAATAGGGGTTGAAGATTTGGCAGACCATCATGTCCGGACATGAGTTAATGCCTCTAGTTGATTTGGTATTACTATGAGATTTGGCAAAGACATGAACCATTTGCTAGACAGGCCTAACATATGTTTCCTTGTTTATAGTTGTATGTTATCAATCTTCTGTTGTTGTCTCACCATAGAAAATTATTACAGAGGGATAAACAAAATATAATATCTCAAGGGTGGCCCAGTGAATAAGATGTCTCGGGGAGGAAATTGTAAATTCATACGTTTTGGATTTGATTCTCAGAACGTACGATTTGATTTTCCGTACAAAATGTCAAAAATATTTAGACTTAAATGATATGTGTGATTTACGTGTCATTGCATGTATTTAAAGTTTGAAAAATATCCGAGTGTTTAAAGCGGATTCGAGTGGATTGATATAAGCTCTTATGTTCAAAGAGGGTGTTTGGTTCGAGCCCCTTATAGAGACATGAGACATGAGTTTAAGTGTGTGCACGCAAACATGTGTATCACGGATTCAAATTATTATGGGGTGGGGAACAATAGGTTTTTTTTTTTTTTTTTTTTTTTTTTTTTACCAACATGCATGTAGCCTAGCTCAACTAGGGAAAAAAAATAGTGATTTTTTAAAATAATTTCAGTGACAATAATGAGATTTTATAGGTATATAATTAAAAAAAAAATCAACACGACTATAAAATTAAAAAAATTTGAGTGAGTGATAAACAGGTATGTGCCTTATGTGTATGAGTCCAATAAATAAATTACACATCTCTACGTGACTTGAATCATTGACCTTCTTATTTATGTTACTATTTAAGTAAGAATTAGGAGTTAGTAGTGGTTAGAGAGGAAGGAGTGGGTGCAAGACTCGAACACTAATTCTCAAACATGAATAGCAACCCAACTACTCAAACATCTTTGAAATGTTTTTAACTAGCCATGAAGCCAATTGGAGGTGACATGATAAAGTGTAAGTAAAAATGAATTCCAAGGATTTTTTATTATTATTTTTTGATCTCCATGCAATTAGCTGCTAAAGTACATTTAAGATACTCGAATTCTTTACTTTTCATATTAAAAATAAAGAAAATATCACTAAGCATACAATACTAAAATCTCATTCCAAGAAATTATGATTTATTTGAATTATCTATAAAGTACGCCAGTAAGATTGAATTATGTTCGTCAGATTAAAGTGTGAAACTATTCAGATACCTCTACTAGAGTCTCCTTAAATTAAACAACTATACTAAGAAATAGCCACTTCTTAATTATTAGAAACTTTGGATTGCTTATCACTCTCTCTTTGTTTTTTTGCCTTTTTTTTTTTTTTTGGGTGAATTGACCATAGCACTCTAAAAACATAAAATAAATAAAATAAATAATAAATAATTTTGATGTTGGTGGGCTGTGATGGAAGACAGGCTGTTGATAGCAACACTTCTTGGCTAGCTGGACCCAGCAAGTAAAGCCGGTCTAAGCTTGCATGTCAAGAACATGCTCTGACCTCAGGATTTTTGGGCTGTGATTGTCAACGGCAGGACCTAGATGAGTCCCATGTAGTGTAAGTACCACGTCATCTTATTTCTGGGCCCACAAGGCCTCCTTAGTTCTTTGCCTTCAATCTTGATTAAAGTCTCGGTCACTGATCCGACGGTTGGGGCACAAGCTAAATCCGCGTTATTGGTTTTCTGTCGTTTGATTATCGATCTTTGATTTATTTCACGCGGATTTAGTTTGATAATGATAACCACCACTGAGGATAAATCCAGGGAAAAAAAAAAGAGGAAGAAATCCAACAAATAAAATTTTGGTCCTCACGCGCCGTAAGAATTGATGAGCAGCATGCTTAAAAAATGACACTCCCTTTTATGTAGTACCATTTTCTTAAATTGGATGGAAAATTTCAAAATTTATTGTATACAATTCAATAATTAAGTGCAATTTTTTTTTTTTTTCAATAAGTAACAACCCAATGCATTCAATGTAAATCACCTGGTGACAATGTTAGTTATGTAATGCTTTTTTTTTTTCTTTGAATGCTATTTGTGAACAAAATTATAAAGTGAGTTTTAACAAAATCTTAGGATGTTAAGTAGTTTGAGTCTATTAATAAAATTTTCTAAGAATTTTAATTACTCCTTATTAAATTAGAAGTAATTTAAGTATTTATCAACTCCTTGAGGTGCTAAAGTGGATAAGTGTTACAAAGGTCTCACATCGAATTCGGATGAAAATTGAAAGGGATATAAATAGGTGTATATGTAGCACTACCCAATAGCTTAAACTTTTAGGTAAATGGACAAGTGTCTACTTGTTAAACAATGTTAAGTACTTTGTGGATGGGGAGCTGATTTCTAAAATTTAAAGAATTGAACTCTTTAATTTTTATTTGTTGATATCTTTATCACCAATATGTATGTATATATATATATATATATATATATATATATATATATATATATATAGTAATGTTCAATTACTCCCTGGATCCTACGGCTAATTGAAACAATAGTTATTTTAGGTAATTATTTTCTTTTAATTAGCCATTAATTATGAAATGACTATATTAGATGCTTTTTAAAATAATAATAATAATAATTTTTTAAATCTGATTAAATTTTAATTATGCCCATTTCCACCACTGTCGGTCCGTCACCACCACCCACCTCCTCCCCCACTGCCACGACCACCTCCCCCCAACCATACCATAACACTGCTACGACCACCTCCCCTAACCACATCACAACATTACCACCTCCATCACCACCATACTGCCACCTACCACCACCACATGCACCAATAATTATAAGGATGCCAATTAATTTGTAGATTTGGTAATTCTTAGTCGAAAGTAGCCATCAAATCTGTCTGGGTAGAGGTGGTGTGGTGTAGGTGGTGGTGGTGGTGGAGGTGGTGGTGACAGTGGTGGTGGGGTGATGGCATATCATGGTTAAATATTTTTTTTTTCTTTAAAAATGTATTCAATATAGTCATTTCATAATTAATGGCTAATAAAAATAATGTTAATTTCCTAAAATAATTATTCTCCCCACTAACCGTTGGATTAGATCCTAAAGCTACGAGTAAAAGTGAGTATATTGCTCCCTGCTCACCAGGAAGTAATTGAACACTACTATATATATATATATAGCAATTGAACACTGTTGTATGTATGTATATATATATATTTTGATCTGGTAATTATTGGAGTTAGGGGAAGGTGATTCAAACCTAAGATCATATTATAGTGGGGTACACTTAAAACTTGACGGTTTGCAATACCGCCACCTTATCAATAGCAAAAAAAATATACTCCCTCTCTGTCTCAAAATAATAGTCCACCTACTTCTTCTTCTTTTTTTTTTTTTTTTTTTTTTTTTTTTTCAAATAATATATTTCATATCTTTCTATATATGTCATTTGAATTTAAAATTTCAAACTAATAAGTATCATATTTGGGAAACTGTTACTCACAACTTGTGAGTCACGGTTTTCTAAATACGACACTTATTTAAATCACGGTTTTTCAAACATGACACTTATTATGAGACAAGGGACATACTTACATCGGGATGGAGGGAGTATATATTTTTGGTTAGGTAACAATCATTCTATAAATTAATTTATAAAATTGAGGTAGGTTGGGAAGGTGATTTTTAAAATTAGGAAATAGTAGTAAAAACCAAAAAGTATAATTCACGGGAAACAAATGCGCGTGGGAATAGAAGATTCATTAGCTAATTGACGCCGAGGATTTCGGAAAATCTCGACTTGGAGGTCAAAGCATTAGGTGGTTGGATCATCACTGAGGAAAATCGGTGCCCCAGTGTTAGTGGGCCAGCCCAGGCCCACGAAGACGCAAAACACGCACAAATACGTGACACGCCATTATTGTCACTAATTGAAGAATATTAACAATTAATTAATAAATTAACTCTCTCTATAACCGGCTTAAAAACGTTATTTATCTATTTATTTATTTATTTTCATTGCCTCTCCGTTCTGTCAGGACTTTTGTTCGACTCATTCCGTTTCTAGATAGTGCTATCGTGAGCCGTCTATGGTGAATACTCTTAGCATGCACCACACCCGATAAAGCTAATCATAATTGCATGCAAATTCACATTTGGCCGACTAAAGTCGGCTTGATTTTTAATAAAGGATCAATAGGGTCCACTTAATTTCTTATCTGTCTGTGGTAAGTCATCACTTTTTAATGATAATACTAGTGAGGCAAATGTCACACTCATGTTGTTAGCATATATTGGGAGGGAAATAAATAAATAAAATTTAAACAAAAATGAGTGGAGTTTTATCGACATTGAACATCTAATATGTCAATTCTTTTGGAGTTTTATGATGCACATGGGTAGTATAGTTGTGATGTGTCAATTTGTCTTAGTTCAATTTATTTATTTATTTATATATATATTATATATATTTTTTATTACATAAAGTGACTATTTTCAAGATAGAGTGCTTAAATTTTCTTTTTCCCATAATAACTAAGAGAATTTTTATTACAGATACATCCATAGTTTAGTGGACTAGTGCCTCGTGAATTTTGGAGTATTAAGTTTCGACTCTCTGTATTTACTAATTTAACTTTTAACACTTCACCAACGGCAAGTGGCCTAGCGGTATACACATACAAAATAGAACGAAAAAAAAAAAAACGTCTAATACTTCTTGCCTTGTAAAATAATAATAATCTAGTGCCCAAAACTATTACCAACACAGTTTCACAATACTTCTTGCCTTGTAAGTTTCACAATAAAATCAAATCTCTTTAGGGCTAGTTTGGTGTGATTGAATGAAATAAGGTGGGAATTGAATGAATCAGATAATGGAATGGACCATTCTCATTCCCATGTTTGGTTGCACATAAAAACATTCTATTTTTGTAAAATATATATAAATATGTATATATAAATATATATATATAGCCGAAATTTTATTAAATGTTTTATTTATTTATTATTATTATTTTTAAAGTGGGAATGGAATGGTCATTCTTTTAGTTGGAAAATTGAATAAATTAGTGGAAATCACCATTCTCCAAAAATGGACAAGAATCATCATTCCAACTTTAAAATAAGTTACCAAATTAAAGAATGGAAACAAAAACAATCCATTCCCACTTTATTTAATTTCATACACTCACACCAAACATGACCTTAGTGTACAATTCTCTGCGGTGCAATGAAATTAAGCAATAAACTAATGCACTAACCACGAAATAATGTTTCAAGATTTTGTAAAATTTTTAAAATAGAAGGGTTTGCTTGATTTATTATTTTGAAAATAGTTTTATGTTTTTTGAGGACTGAAAATTAGAAAAATATACAAAAAACTTTGTTTGGTTCAGTTTTCTGAAACTATCTTATGAAAATTCAATTATAAAATGATATGTTTTTTTAGATAATCGTTTTTTATAGTTCTTTGAAAATAATTTTTTATTTTTTATATTTTTAAAAATTATTTTTAAATTTACAAACCAAGTAGAATTTTCTTATAATTAGTGAATTTCAAAATGCTAACAAGAGTTAACATTTCGACCTTTAAAATTTACCAAATACTCTACAATAAAAAAAAATAGTAGAGGTAAGAACTATATTCGGTGCAAGAATTATTTTCTTCTCATTTTATGCACTAGGTGATTTATAAAGTCCTCTCAAATCTCAATTTATAAGTAATATACATAAAATTCTATTATAAATTTTTAAATTTATTTTCATATTAGTAATTTTGTTTATTTATTTTTGTATCTGCAATTGAATGAACTCCAACAACTGGGTGCAACTACTGAGTGCAAGTGGAAAGCATTTGGTTCCGCTCGTTGTGGCCTTTTGCTTTTAGCTAAAAACGCGCCCACAAGCGCAAGTTAGTTACGTGGGCCCAACGCGCACGTTAACTCCATTCTCCTAATCGGGCCGAATTAACGAACGGTGCGTTCTGGACATGTCAGCACATGACAAAAACGAAAAAAAGTAATGCAAAAAGAGACGAACAGCTCCATTTGCGAATTGCGCCCTCCCACCCCATCTCTCTCTCTCTTTCTCTCTCTACAATGGAAGGAATTTTTGCAGTGGACGCCGGGATCCGCGTTTCTCGATGACTGCAAATAATTAATCAAATTCGCCTTCGCGTGGAGCATCCGACGTTGAAGAATCTTTCTGTGAGTATTTTTTCTCGCATTTTCTTTTCCTGTTTGTTCATTTTCTCTACTTTCTTTCTCTTCCTGCCCCGTCCTTTCATGGATTCAAGCAAATTTTTTTTTGTTTCTATCGTATCTTTGCTATTGCATTTGTGCTTTTATGGAAGAATTTCTATCTGCATTGACTTGGATCATCCAGAACTTACGATCGGTTCTAATTTTTCGGGGAAAGACCCTTTATCGATTGCTTTATACAAATTGGTGAAGTTTGGCTTTTCTTCTTCTTTTTTGAAAATTAGTTAAACTGGATCATTAAAATCTTTTTTGTGTATTTTGTTCATCTTATTTTCTTTCAAAGGTCTTTCTAATCAGATGCCAATTAAATTAAACTACGTGATATTTGATCACAAAGTGCCATGTGTGTCTCATATGCTTTGAAGTTGTCTATAATTTGGTTATTAGTCTTTCGAAATAGATAAATAGTTACGAAATTAATGTTTTTATTTGTTGTAATTTTTGGTTATTAGAACGATATATATATATTTTATGAAGAGGTTTAATTTCTGTGATGTTTGTTGCTTGGTCTAGGAAAAACGATTGTGATAAAGCCAATGTGTTTATATGTAGTAATCGTTGATTACTGGGACAAATAATTATTCAAGAGGTTTGATTTGTGTGATATGTTGTTGCTTGGTTCAGGATTTTCTGGGATTCGTGTTGATTAAATAAAATATTAACACATTGACTATCAAAGCGGGGACATTCCAGAAGAAGAAGTTTTTCTATTAGGATTTTGAGGGGCCGAAAAATGTCCTCCAAGGGTGAGCATCAGACGGTCCCGCTTTCGGTATTGCTCAAGCGTGAATTAGCAAGTGAAAAGATTGAGAGGCCAGAGATTTCCCATGGTCAAGCTAGCCAAAGCAAGAAAGGGGAGGATTTCACGTTACTAAAAACCGAATGCCAACGGGTGGCAGGAGATGGAGTTACCACATACTCTGTTTTCGCGGTATGTTTAGGCATCTATTCTCTCTAGGGAAACCCTTTTGCTTTATAAAATTAATGCGATCAGGTTGTATGCATATTCAATGAATTCTAGTTGTTGCATAGCTTTTAAACTTGGTTGACAATTTATTGAGATACCTTGTAAGGTTTAATCAATTGAGGGATGTATGATATCGTCTCCATTAAGAGCGAGATACATTAAAGGTGCTTTGATTTATTTTTTTATTTCATATTTTTTCATACCATTTGTTTGTCAACAAAAGTACCAATGGTTTTCTCTTACAAACTAAAAGAGCTATATTGTTTGTGTTGTTTACGAGAATGCTTAAACAATTAGCATTTTTATGTGATATGCGCATATCCGTTTTATTTATACTTGAAAAATGAGCTGATAGGAGCTAGCTGGTAATTTCAGTGTTTGAAGGCGAGGGAAAGATGGGAACCTCTAAATTCCTTTTTAACTTGGGAGGTGCAAGATAATGCAAGTTGTGCTTGGTCATTGTTGCTCACTTGTTTGTAAATGTTTCCATTTTCCTAGCTATAAATGACCTGCCCTTCATTATATATTAACCCGTCTAGCAAATAATTTTACTGGTTATGCATGCTGGCTTCTTTCTATCTATTTTCCTACATTGGCCGTGCTTCCCTCATTCATCCATTTATTGGTTATCATCTCCATATTTGTTTTTTTCTGTTTCCTTTCTTATTTTATTCAAATCATATGTTTAAAGGGACAATTGATGAGTCTTTTCCTGCCATTACTGTATGTGTTCCCAACATATCCTTTGGCCTTGCCATTGCGTTTCTTTCTTTTTCCTTTTTATTTTTCGTCAACATGCCACATCGAAACATGAAAAGGTACTCCATTGTATTACATAACAAACAGTTGAACATTGGAGTTCTATAACAATGCTATGAGGTTAAAGTTTTATGCTCTAGTAGTCATCAAAGAGCAATCAGGGGGATGCAGTCATCCAGTGTTTGAATGCAAATTATAATTCCTTTATAGAGATGTTTGGAAGGGTTTAAGAAGCTCAACATTTGTGTATTATGATGAATGTAGTTTGTGATACTGTGCTTATTTATTTTTATTCTGAATATTGACTTATGCATATTGTTTAGGACTATTCATCAAAATGTTACAAACATCACGGATTTTGGTTAGCGATTTAATTTTATTGTTAACATGTAGTATGGCAATATTGTGTTTGCTGAGGAATTTAGAGTTACATTTCAGTCAACATTTGTGTATTATGATGAATGTAGTTTGTGATATCGTGCTTATTTATTTTTATTCTGAATATTAACTTATGCATACGGTTTAGGATTATGCATCAAATTGTTACAAACATCACGGATTTTTGTTAACGATTTAATTTTATTGTTAATATGTAGTATGGCAATAGTGTGTTTGCTGAGGAATTTAGAGTTGCACTTCAGTTAATAGATTAGATGATTTGCAAATTTTAGAATCTTTTGTATATGATTGGGTGGGAATGGGTAGGAGACTATCTAGAGACTTTCAGGTTGTTTGGTTTTGTTAACAACCATCTGGTCTAAAACCTTAAGCTATTAGAGAGGGTGTAATTTTAATATTTAAATCCTCTAACAGGTTTCAACCTGGATATGGGTCAAGTTGATTGCTTTTATTTGGGCCTCTATTTAATAAGTGATTTAATCCGTTGAAAATTATTGCATATTTTACAGGGATCTCTGGTTTTATTTGTTCATTACCTTAGGCCATTCATATAATTGGTTCCTTTTTAGAAGTTCCGCAAATTGAATTGTGGTGGTCGTTCTCTAACCAGCCAAATTGAATGTGTGGTGATATGAAGTGACCTCAACAGATCTATTATATATCTTGTGTTTCATGGAGCAGTTATTGGGGCTTTTTTTTCATATGGGGTCTTAGAGAGTCCTAAATTGGCCTTGTCTGTGCTCCTTTGGTGGCAAACTCATTATAAATCTTGTTGTTTGTTTTTGGATATTTCCTTCATTCTTATGATGGTTTGGGGTTAAGCTTGTTTTTCAAATGTCGGTGTTTTGGAGCACACTGGAGTTCTTCACTAGAGACTCTCTTCCTTCTTCCATTTTTGTAGTATTGCATGCTTTCTTGTTTTTTAAAAATTTTTGTTCTATTATTTCATTTCTCCTTATTTGTGAGAACTAATAAGACCTCTCCTTAGTAAAGTTACTCTTCATTAATAAATTTTTGTTTGTTTTCATAAAAGTAATTTCAATATTTTTTATTTGAATACTTCATAGTTCACAAATTATGCGCCATCTATGCGTTCACTGGGCTTTATGGATTCCATTGTTTGCTTTCAAATTGCATTTTAAAGACTTTAATCATGATTATAGAAGTATAAAATCAGTGGATTGGTGGCTGCTCTATCTGTGTAACCTAGGTCTAGTTGCCTCATTGTTTATGTCCTATTTTTGTGGCCTGCTCTCACTAAACTTTAATAATGCAGCTATTTGATGGACACAATGGCTCTGCAGCTGCTATATACTCTAAGGAGAATCTCCTTAACAATATTTTGGCTGCTGTACCTTCAGATCTTAACAGAGATGAATGGGTTTCGGCACTACCGAGGGCTATGGTCGCCGGATTTGTAAAAACAGATAAAGATTTCCAAGAGAGAGGTATGAATATTTTCTTTTCTATTTCTTACGAGCCTGTCACATATGGTCACAAAGGGTAGTCAGTTAATTCAAAAGAAATTGTTTAAACCATAAAAATAGAAATCAAATTTCTGGCACTTTTGAATTGTGCATTTCTGCTTGTGAACAGTAATATTAGCTTATGATTTGCCAATAGTATAATACCAAGATTGCACACTAAGCAAAAAAAAAATCATGTCAAGACATATGATCAATCTAAATCACACAAATACTTTTATAATTGTTCTCTATGATATATATACAATCTGACTGAACTGAGTGACAGATTGTGTTGTGGTGAGACGGAGGGACGGAAGGAGCAGGTTCCCTTTGCTTGCTTGCCGGACAAGAAGGATTAGACTTTAGACCCACTAATGGACTATAGCGAACAGAGAAACAAACCTAAGTCACTATTGTATGCAAACCATGAGGAGCACTAGCACTACCAGTATATATATTTATATATATGCATATATTATTGCACAACTAATTGCTCAATTAACCTCTGCTTGTTATTACAATGATCATATCTATTCAATTTTATTCCATTTCATATGTTACATGGACTCGGATATGTGTTTTGGATGTCGATTTTTCTGCTTGTGAACAGTAAAATTTCCCCTGGATTTTGTCCTGTATCATAACAGGAGGATTTTCGTGCACACTACAGAAATACACAATCATGTCAATACATATAATGATATGGCTAGTCACTTAGATACTTTCATACTGGTTCTATATGTAATTTATATTGCATGACTAACTGCTCAATTAATCTCTGTTTATTATTACACTAATCATTTCCTTTTAGAATTTTCCCTTCCATATTTATATGTGATTGGTGAACCTGTAGCTAGCAAAAAAATTCAAGTGTATTAATGGAATATTCATATTACATGGTCTCAAGAACGAATAAGCAGATTTGTGCTTTATATTTAGGTTTATCAATATTTTAAACCCAAGTATATGTGAACACATCTGATATTATATTTTTTAACGGAAAAATGCTATCATGATGGTTTTCCCAAGCAAGCTTGCATTCACAGCTGTTGGATTGAGAGTATTGTGATGTGATGTCACCCTCTTGATCCAATTGGTTGAGGGCACGAACTCACGGTGAGAGTGCCCGCATGATAAACTTCTTTTTATTTTATTTTATTATTTTGGGGTGTGTGTGTGTGTATATAATATTCTTCTATTTTTTAGCAAGACACCCAACACCAGCATTTCACTTCTGGAGCAATGATACAAATAGGAAGTTTATGCATGATTATATAATATACTTGAATTATTGGATATGTTTTCTAGATGTATGTCCAACTAGACATGTCAAATACATATTCCATGCCTATACCCTAGTATCATGTGATCGGCATAGGTATTCAATGCATTTAGAAGAGTCCATCTAATACAATGTTTATGTTAGAGAAGTCAAAAGAAATAATTGGCGATCAACATTTGAAAGAGAAAAGTATTAATAAAGGTTTTGCAGGAAAGATGACTTAATCATGACATATATGGAAAATTAAGTTACCATTATATTATAATTGTTATGATGTTCAAAATTGTATTGTTCAAAGTTATTTAAAGGAAAAACATAGAGTTTGTATACTTCTAAGTATATAAAACTAATACTTTCTATGTATTAACATTCCTATGTACTATGTATGTATCCTACCTTTGACACTACCCCAACCTTCACTTTACTCTTCCAAAATGAAAAGAAAAGTACATATGTTGATTCAGCTTTTGACAAAATTAGCAAAGAAGTAAAATACATATGATATAAGCAAAATACATTGAAACATATTTGTTTTAGTAACTTTCTGTAAAAAAAAAGGCTTATTTTTCATTACTTATTAGTGAGTAGTGTCTTAAGTAATACTCCAGCAAACACAATCCCATGAAAATTTGTTAATCGTTGGACTTGTAGATGGTTAACTACACATATAAACTTTTATTCTCATGGACCATTCAATTTTTCGAACTCTAATAGTGTTGCTTACTATATTCAAAGTACTTATGCATGTTATCCAAGTTTTCAGAGTGTACAATGATATTCTGATTGTCATAAAGGTCAATTAATCTGATCTGGATACGTTCCATGGGAATCTCGTCCTATCCCTACCCTAAACTATTGACCCCCACCTGTGAAAGATGTGGAATCTTTTAAATTAATGCTCCAGCAAACACAATCTGTTTCATGCAATTTTTTTATTTATTATTATTATTTTTTTATCATTGGATTATTAGTTGATTAACTATATATGTTAACATTTATCTTGGTGATACCATATGGTTTTGTCTTATAATAATATTATTATATTTATGTTTTTTTGTCTTATAATAATATTGCTTTTGATGGGTACAAATATCTCATATAGCTGGAAATGTCAACCAATCTGATCTTATATTTATTGGGAAACTCATCCTATGTTCTTAGCCTATGGTACATGGACTTGGGTACGCGTGTTGGGTGTGGGTATGAACAGAATTCTTGGTTGTTTTGAGTCCCTTTATGTGACTACGATTTAATAATTGAAAGGTAGAAGGGTTACACTAATATAAAGTATAACAAGATTTTCTTCTTTCATCAAAGTTTATAGAAGTGCATAAAACTAAAGAAAACAAGAAGAGAAGGAAAAAAAGTCAGGCATTACAATTTTATTCGTATAGGCGTCACAGCTAGGACTAGAATTTCATTATATAGTCCCATAAGTTTCAAAAACCATTACCAAATCTCTAAACTGATATTTTTCGAATTTAAGTACATAAACCTATATAAATTACCAGGTTTTTCTACGAGAATGCTGGCTTGAAATTTTTATACTTCAAGCTTTGACTCATGAAACCTATCTAAACTAAGTATAAGTCATTTTATAAAACCCAATGACATATCATAACCAAGAAAGCTTATGAACATGTTCACTAGGGCTTTTTGCTTCATGTCATTGACTACAACAGTTTTTGGGCAGAAATGAAGGTAGTGGAAAAAGGAGTATATATCAATAATTGACTTCCTTATCCTAGTAAATGGTTTCCAATGGGGTTCTTCTAGCTCGAGGGGGTTTAGATAGAGAGATACCCAGTATCTTTCTTTTTGATACAGTGATGAAGGCGTTGGGTAGGATGACTAGCAGGACAATGGATGTGGCTATTGGTGCAGGTTTGTGGTTGGTGAGGGAGGCTATTATTTAGCAGTATCCCATCTTCTTTTTGCTGATGTATGTTGATGCTATCATTTTTCGTGGGCAAGAAGGGGCATTGGAGGTATCTTCTATGTGTTTTTAAGTGCTTTAAAGTAGTGTCAAGTTTGAGGAACGATTTGGGTAATAGTGGTGTGATTTGGTGGCTCCCCACTTTTATAGGTTACTTGGACTGAGGGTTTGACTCCATGGGTGATCTCTTTGATTTCTTGTATATCTCATCTATGTGTGAGGAGGTGGAGGACCTAATAGGTAGATCCTTGACAAGAATAATTGCATGGACGAGATGGGTCTGGATTTTCTTAAAAAGAAATTTGGGAAGGTTAAAGTGCCCTCCAATGTATCTGTTTGTGTGTGCACAGATGCCATGGAGGCAATCTTGGTCCATGTTACATGGATTTTTCTAAATATTTAAAGTAGCCATGTTGAACGCACGACGTATGGTTATGTGTATGCACTTTGTGTGCGACACATCTGTTGGACATGCACCTAGTAAACATATCCAACAATTTAAAGTTTATGATATAATATAGATAAACCTCTATTATGATGTTTCTTTTATTTACATTGTTTGAAAATGAGGGTCTATATTGAAAAATCTATGTTACACAAAAATACCATTTCGCACCATAAAATGTAGAAAATATTAAAAGAATAAATATTTAGCCTTGTTCCCTTGTCTTTTTTTAGATTTTTTTGATATATGCAATACAGATGAAAATCCTAGCCAAGACACATAATCGAGTCCATATAACATAAATCTTAACAATGGACAACTCAAGGAAAGGGAGATGATCTCTAGTTGGTGTTGAATGTGCAAGGATGACAAAGCCCCAATCATCTCCTTTATAGTGAGGTGGAGTTCGAGCTGTTGTGCATGTTGCGCTCTTGGTTTGGTGTGTCTGAGTTATTCTCAACCTGCAGGATATCTTCTTGCTGGCTGGGATAGGAGGTAATGTGAGTAAAAAGAGTACAATAAGCTTATTTATCAAAAAATAAAATAAAATGTTGACGATATGGAGTGTAAGGCTGGTGTGGAGCATATGGCAGGACTCAGGAGTAAAAACAGGAGATTTGTTGAGGACCTGGAGATATCTATTTAGTGAAAGAAATTGATGCTAGACACTTTATTTTTAAATGTTTGGGAGATTTCAGACTGTTTATGCTTTTGTTGATATTTTTAGCTGATTTGTTTGTATGGGGGAGTCTAGCTTTGTGACTCTGGTACGCATTAAATCTCGTGTTGCATCCTCTATGGTGCTCCTGTTAATTCAACAATATTGTTACATATAGAAAAAGTTGTGACTTGTGATAGGATTTTATGTATATTTTGTCTAATCTAGTCCAGTGTTGCTAGTTTGTTACTACCAGTCTACCATGCTTTCCTTTTTAATTATCAATCAGTTTTAAAATTTTGCAAGGTCTCTCTCTCTCCTCTCCGTGCATTATATATTTATACATCTTTCTTACATATTGTTTTGATTCACTTTCAGCACAAACTTCAGGAACAACAGTTACCTTTGTGATAATTGAAGGATGGGTTGTAACTGTGGGATCTGTTGGTGATTCACGTTGCGTACTTGAATCTGCTGACGGTGGAATATTTTATCTGTCAGCAGATCATAGGCTTGAATGCAGTGAAGAAGAGTAAGTTATCTTTGTGTGTGTGTGTGTTTGGGGTTGGGGGGGGGGGGGGTTGTTGCATCACTTAAAATTTGCGACTTAAGTTAAGGCTTTACTTTTTAATCTTTAATCAGGAGAGAACGTATTACTGCAAGTGGCGGTGAGGTTGGTCGACTTAACACTGGTGGTGGTACGCAGGTATTATTTTATGTTATAAATTTTCATTGTTTTAACTTCTCTAGTAGTCTTTGTTTTTTTTTTTTTTTCCATCCATGTGCAAATTTAATAGGTATATACTTCTTTATACTTGATCATAGATTAGTAGAACCATTAAATGATAAATGAATTACTTTGGGAAGTGTGTATGAAAACTGGGATGATTGTTTTTTGGAGAAATAGATGTTTAATTTTACAAGTTTATAATGAACTCTCTTGATAAGTTATTGATATTTATTGTTGTGCTACAATTTTTTGTGAGGTGAAATTTGATAATGGTGATGCATTGTTGATCCTTTGTGGAAAGATAAAACTTATATCTTGAATTATATGTTTGGCCTGAAGGAAAAGTTTTACTGCAGATCCTATCATGGAATTAATTTAGGCATATTTTAGTTATTTTTCTTCTATGGACTTTTATGTCTTTCCTAATCCTGAAGAAAAGTTGTATGTGATGTGGAAGGTATGGATCATATGTTTGCCCTGAAGGAAGGTTAGAAAGTTGTATGCGTTTAATTGTGTGATTGGTATGAAGGAAAAGGTTTTCTAAGCTTCCCATCATTAACTTATTACATTTTTTTGTTACTTCCTCTACCATGGACTTCTTTCCATCTTTTCAAGTTTTCATTGTCCTTAAAGAAAGTTGTATAAGAAGTGGAAGTTCGTTGTGGATTGTGACGATTTTCTTACTAGTAAATTAATTTCATTTCAGATTGGTCCTTTGAGATGTTGGCCTGGTGGCTTGTGTCTTTCCAGATCTATTGGAGATATGGACGTCGGGGAGTTCATTGTTCCTGTTCCATATGTAAAGCAAGTGAAGGTTTGTCACTCATGCTGTTTCTTGCATAAAAGCATATGTAAATTAGTTCTATTGTTTACCTCTACTTGCTTTCCATTGTGAAGCAGATTGTTGTTGAATGAGATCATAGTTTCCATCTTACAATTCAGATAACCCTTTTAATGAGAATTGTACACAAGGCATCTGCCGCCTTCTCATCTTTTCCTAACCATGAATTCTCCAATTGAGTTTGTTTCTGGAACCAGTTGGTTTCCTTCTGGGGTTGTGATGTCTGGAATTATTCCAAAGAGGACAAGGGTATATTCACTGAATTGATAGAACTTACTTCTCACTTGACAATATCATCATAAATATGTTTGAAATTAAGGTTTTCAGGTTTGGGATTTTATGTAGGATTGGGGTTTCGGAGGATGAGAGTCATAGGATCATAAGATTCTACAAAACTAGTATAAAATAACTCAAATCTACCGCAACAAGACCTTTTTTCCAACTACTTGAGGTCGGCTACATAATTCCAATTTTTTACATTCCGCTATAAATCACTTGTTATCATATCTCCTTCCTTGCTAACTCTATCCATGTTAACTTTGGTCTTCCCCTCCCCTAGAATTGTACTCAATGTAGACCATGTCGCTCTTCCTAACTGGCGCACTTGGTGGTTTTCTTTGTATATGTCCAAACCATCTTATTCTATTTTCTCTTGTTTTATCTCCAATTGATGCTACTTCAATCATTTCACAAATGTACTCATTTCTAATATATATTTTCTTGTCTTGCTGCACATGCATCTCAACATTCGCTAATCCGCCACACTCAGGGAAAAATAACTCAAACTAACTTTCTATATTAAAGTACTTTAAAATAAACAATGAATAAGGCTAAAACACAAAAAGAAATAGAATACTACCTTAAGCATATGTAACATACATCTAGGGACAACTTCATCCAAGTATGTTGGTGAATATAACTCAAGAGGGTATCATTGCACAGCAGTTGTGAACCCTATCTTCTGATTTTTTGCATTTTAAGGTTGGGTCTCTGCTTCCTGTTCTATTTTATTTATTTTTGCTAAACACTATTGGGAAGAGTTGGGTTTTCTAGTGATCCGAATTCATTTAACACTTCGGGATCAAACACTCTATATCGTGTTTTTAACAAGCAATTTGAATGACTCCTTTTTTCATGAAAATTATTGTTGTATGTAGCCTTTGAGTGTTGATAAGCATAAAATACAAGAAATTTTTCAAGAGAGGTAATTCCAAGCGAATTGAGTTAAATTTACTGGTTAGACATACATGAAGTCTAGTAGATTGTTGGTTACCATTTAAAGCTCTAGTTGGACACCATGAACTAGGGCTGCAAGTTGGGCTGGCCCAACCCAGCCCAGTCCCAACCCAACTTCAACCCAAAATCGGGTTGGGTTGGGCCAGCCCGAATTGTACCTAACATGGGTTATGGTCATGCCCGAATATTTTGGGCAGGTCAGACCGGGTTTCACGGGTTGAGATTTTTTTTTCGGAAATAAATATAATATATATATATAATCAAATATAATCAAATATATATATATATATATAATCAAATATAATATATATATTTGATTATATTTGATTATATATATATATTATATTTGATTATATTATTAGTAACTCTAAACCAAAAAACAAAATATTTTTGGGGCAAATCATTTTAGCCTCCCCAATCGCCTTCATCTCTATTCTTGTTCTCGACTCTGAACTTGCCCTCTCTCTCTCTCTCTCTCTCTCTGCAACTGCCAACTACAAAATCTACAAGAATTAGAAGTTCAAAAGCCATTATCTATACCAAAACCCATATCGGCATATCATTTCAGATTGTTCAAAAAATCAAAACCCATATCTTTCAGTTTCCATCGCCCGCTGTTCCAGTTCGGGTTTGCCGTCTGCAAACTTCAGCCGCTGTCTCTCAACTCTCAAGCTTGCCCCCCTCTCTCTCTGCAACTGCTAACTTGTATGTATGGGTTTTGTTTTAATTTTTGGAAGTGACGGCGGTGGCAGTGGCGGCGGCTGATCAGCGGCTGAGGGCGAGGGATGGCGGCGGCGGCAGCAGCAGCAGAGGGACGGCGGTAGCAGCAGAGGGGAAATGTGTCCTCCCACAAGAATTCGGGTTGGGCTTGGGCTGACCATGTTCTAACCGCCCAGGTTGAAATGTGTCTAACCCAAAGCCAACCCGATTTGTTGGTGAACCCAGCCCAATCCGAAAAATCTCGGGCTGGGATCGGGTTGGGTTGGCCGGCCCGTCCTAAGTTGCAGCCGTACCATGACCAATCTACTGGCCTTTTATTTCCTTGAATTATTTTTTTTAAGCTGGATCTTGAAGCAACATAAAGTTACAAACATTTTTTGAATTGGCTTGATTATAAATCTTTATTTTGAGGCAGTTATCAGGAATGCCAATTTTTATTTTCAATGAAAGAAGTTGGAAAAGTGAAAATTTTCATGTCCATTTGGTCATCTTGCAGTAACCTTTATTTTTGAAGGATTTCATATCTCCATGTATTTTGAAAACTCGTCGCTTTTCCAGTTTGCTGGCGATTCATACTAAATGTTTATTTTATTAATTTTTTGTTGAAGTAAATAATTAGTGTTTCTTTTTTAAGCCCAATAAGAAAAATGACTACATTTGAATGCATTGTGATATCATGTTTATCAGTAGTTAGGAGGTTGGTCTGATCATGATGTCCTCACCTGACTTACATATGAACATGTCAAATTTGTCTTCATGGTCTGTCGTGAAAAGGGATATATAAACTTCCCTCTGTATACAGGAGTCATTTGTGAGTGTGTTTTATTTTGGTGACTGCTGATGCACATGCAGTCAAGAATCAAGATCACATCCTTAGGTGTACTCAGAGGCGACTATTGTTTGCATTTGTCAGTTTGCTTTTCTGCTTATCATTGTAGTGGTCTATACTTGTTGCAGGTCATTTAAGTTTTCATTCCACAAGCTCTTTTTCATATTTTATTTTGTGATGTTATTTCTGCAGATGTCCAATGCTGGTGGCAGGCTTATTATCTCCAGTGATGGTGTTTGGGATGCTTTATCTGCGGAAGTGGCTTTTGATTGTTGTCGTGGGATGCCAACAGATGCTGCAGCGTCACAAATTGTCAAAGTATGCTAACAACTTGATTTTTTATTTATTTATTTGATTGTAAGTTAAATTATGTTTTTGGTATTTAACTATTTATTTATTCCTTATTTGAGTATCAACACAGACCCCTCGTGTACCCTTTTGCAGGAAGCTGTACAGGTGAAAGGACTTCGAGATGATACAACATGCATTGTGATTGATATACAACCTCCAGAGAAGACAAACCCTCCTATGCCGCCTCCGAAGAAGCAGGGTAAAGGAGTGTTTATTAAGTCCATGTTTCGCAAGAAGTCGTCCGAGTCGTCTTCTAATAGCGAAAAAGAGTATTGTGAGCCAGACATGGTGGAGGAATTATTTGAGGAAGGATCAGCTATGCTTGCAGAAAGGTTAGTACTGTGGAAGCCTCTATTATTAGTTAAATTTGAATCTTCTACTTCTTGTAAGCAGGGATTGTGGTCGTGCATGCTAATTCTGGTAATTTTATCTTTTTTTAAAATTTCGTTTATTTGGGAAGGCACAGCTACTTATGTGTGAAGAGGAAAAGTAACAAAGGTCTATTGTTTTGACATCTGATGTGTTTGTGGGTTACAGATTTGATACAAAATACCCACTCTGCAACATGTTTAAGTTGTTCATGTGTGCGGTTTGTCAAGTAGAGATGAAACCTGGACAGGGTATTTCAATACATGCTGGCTCGGTGAATTCAAGAAAATTACGGCCTTGGGATGGCCCTTTCCTTTGCTCGAGCTGCCAGGATAAGAAAGAAGCCATGGAAGGAAAAAGACCTTCTGGAGGTACGACGACTCTCATTCTTACATTCCATAAAAACACTAATGTCAGGAACCTTCTTGATTTCTTTCATGTTCTAATATTTTCAGATGGTTCAAGATATAGTAGTGGAAGTGAATAGCCAACCTTACACAAATATACCTGCATCTTGCAAGCACTAACAGTTGTTTCTGAGCCGATCATAAGTGGGAAAGCAGAACTTTCTGGCAGTACAGATTTCTTTCTGTTTTTCATGAAGGCTTAAGCATTTGGATCCCACTTTGGTACCCGTTTGCATGATGTAGTTGAGAATATGTTTCCGACTCAGGTAGGTACCAAGTATGCCTTGCCTCGTTTGGAAGACTCGTGCAAGATACTGATGGGGGCGCATTATTACACTTTAGAGGTAATTCCATCTTCTTTGTTAACATGTTCAATTGTACACTGTCCCTTCTGTTTCGTAGAGCCTAACCTTGAGTGAAAGCAATCTTCAACGTATAATACTATTACGTAGGACGCGTTTGATAAGTACTCTTAGGATTTTACTTCATAGGATCGACATTTGTGATTATTATCCTGCTATTGAATTTGTTCTTGTAACATTAAGCTGTTCTTCATTCCCAAAGTAACGTAAATTTATCCTGCTATTGAATCTGTTCTTGTAACATTAATATGTTCTTTCCAAAAGGAAGGTAAGCCCTTCAGAATATCAAAATCACCTATTTTTCTTTTCCAAAGACAGATGACATTTAATCTTTTCTCTAACTACACTACTGTATACTTGAGTTCATCTGCCTCATTCTCCAATGTAATATGTGTGCGCGCGTGTTTGTGCGTGTGTGTGTGGAATTGCTGGAAATTAAATTATAACTTTGTGAAAGTGTTCGTTTTATTGGCTGTGTAACAGACTTCTTTCATATATATATATATATATATATGAACTTCAACCATGGAGAAGTATGATAGAAAGGAGCTATCCAGCTGTCAATTTCCCTTTTTTTTTTTTTCTTCTTCGGTAACGAAGAATCAACTCACACACTAATCACTTTAGACTTTAGATGGTTCGCAATCGCAATCGTTCACATATCATGTGTATAATTTAAGTCAAAGCCACCATTGGTGAGGCTTGAATCGGAGGTGCAAGGGCTGTCCTCTCAAAGGTCTTATCGAGCTAGCCCGTGTGGGCATCTGACTGTGGATTTACCTTTAGATTATCACTGGTGAAATTTACCCTATAAGGATGGTACAATAATGGGTGTGCATGTCCTGAGATGACATTTATGGAATAGACACAATACATTATATCTATATATATATATTTTCTTGCAGGTAAATATCATTATTTTCTAATAATTAATTAATATGACCGTAGATATTAAAAAAGTACCATATTGTTTGAATATTACCTCATGTGTCATGGTGTCGAATGAGGGATCCATATTGTTTTTCCCTTCCTTTTCCGGTACTGTTTCCAATATATAATTGTTAGAAAAAAAAAAAAAAACACTTGGAACTTGGAAATACTAACAGTTTTACTTACCACAAAGTTTGCAAGTAATTTTGTTTCGCCGAGCCGATCATTGACAAGTTTAGGCTGTGCTTTTGTTTATTCCCTTTGGCCAGATTACATGCCACACGGACTGAAATAGCAAATGAAAAGAATATTTGTCTTGAGTGCCCATTTAATTGGTTAAGCTCAAATTTATACTCCACCTGTTAATCATAGTTGTGTGTGTTTGTGTGTGTGTGTGAGAGAGAGAGAGTTTGTCTTGTACCACGTTTGCTTGTTGGGATTTCCTTTCACGGTTGGAGAGAGAGAGAACGAGATGGTGATTGGCAAATGGGAAAAGCAAAAGAGAGAGAAGTTTTTCCACCAAGTGATCTTGCGAGATGACACTGAAGTCTTTGTTTTATGCCATGTTTGCTTCTCTCTCTTATCTCTAAATATATAGAGATACACATATACATTATACATCGAGTGGTTAAGTGGAGAAGATGAGTTCTGTCCTGTCCACCCAAATAATGCCTCCATGATTTAAGATGTTGACCTTAACCAAACAAACAAAAATCCTCCATGATTAACCTCTCTACTACTCCCCCATGGACCACATTCTACACGTGCGTGTGGTCCCACCAATACCATTTAACCTAACTTTTATAACATGTGGGTGTGACACTTTCATCACCGTCCAATCTCCATCACACGGTTCCTATTGGCCAATGTGGGGTCCAACGTTAAACCAGTGTGAAACTTGGACCACTAGTCCAAACACCGACTTAAAAGTCCGTCACACACTTGGGTCATTCCTATTGCCTCTCTAATCAAATCATCAATGGTGGGTGGTGATGGATTCATAGACAATAATATCATTTGCATTTATATATATATATGTATATGTATATATTCATACTAAACATATCTTATCGAATCTCCTTGTATAGGGACTAGGAAGAGACTAGTTTGATCACACCGCCAAACTTGTTTCACACAATGATATATATGCATGTATCAGAGGGATGTGATTTTGTTTCTCATATGATTTTGTTCAGAACAAATTGTAGACAATGTTGGATTGCAAAATCCAAGAATTAAATCTTGTGTTGGTATCTAACTATCTATATGTATTTGTATATATTTGTGTGTGGGTATTATGTATATATAGATTGCAATGTATATGCAATATATATGTCTATATATATATAAAGATTATCTGATAAAAAATTTCATTATGGAAAATTACAAATTTCAACTCCCAGATTTTCTCTCTTTCTTGTTTTCTAAAAATTGTGACTTTCAATATTTTCTCATATCACACTCAAAACCGTCTATGACAAGAGTTCTAAAACCACGTTCACAATCCACGCAAAATGAAAAGAAGATAAAAAATATTAATTCCCTTAAAACAAAATTTCCACAACTTCACAAAATCTTTATGCTAAGTTTTTGAAAGACCATCAGTGTTTTTAGAAGATTATGACAGGATTATTAAAATGAAAAAAGTTGAAGCGGTCTATTGTAACTTTGATATATATCATATATATGTATAGTATATGTATACCGTACAAATTTATATACACATATAGTAGCACTTTTGAGATTGCTACTCAGACTACAAAACGAATGAAAGTTGAAACCCCTCTCCCGAAGCAGTTGCGTGCAAAAAGAGAACATTGAAGAGAGAGATGGTGTGTGTGTGATAGATACGATATCTATGTTAGAGTCTTAATTCTATAATCAAAGATTCTTCTTGAAATGGGTGTACGTTTAAATACGTGCGCAATAATATGAGCATCATTTCTCGACCTTCTCGTTGGGATGAAATATTCACATACAAACAGTCGTACCCGAAATCAGTGTGCCCTCCCAATCCCTCTCGTCTTTAGGCACAAAACCCGTACCTTGCACGGGTGAAGTTGTGGACTGAATTTTGTTTAAGCTCATATTGCTACGCGATTTATTTTGACTTGATTTGCTTGGTAACTCAATTTATAAAGATGTTGGGATAAATCTTGGCCTATCTTTATCGAGAGCGTAGGTTATTCTATAAACTATTCGTAGATTTTCATTTGGGGGCACTGGTGTGATGCTGGGGGCACTTTTGTGCACGCTTGAGGCACCATTTATTGACTATTTCACTCAGAGACCCGTGCCCTCCTACTCGGGGCCTGGCCCTTGCCCTGACCACCGAGAAGTTTTATCTCATTATTTATTGCAAATATAGGGTCTAATATTTTGGAACGTTCCAAATTACCTTAGACGAGTACTATTCAACTCTCTGCAGCTATGCAATGGACTTGTACTGAAAAAATAGAAAGCAAAATCATCATTCAAACTCTTGTGTAATATCTACCCACTATTCGACTTTTTCTTCAACCAGCGTTTGATAAGTTGTTGTTGAGAATTAAATTCTTATTTCATCACACATAACGGAAGTATCATCGTCACATTATCAGTTACACGTATATATGTAGATAACAATCATCTTAAGTCACAGTCTATAAGCCAAATAATAATTTTTTTTGTGTTTTGTGTAATGCATAATTATACGTTTTCTTGTCGTAATACTGGTATCACATCATATAAACAATGTACATGTTAGGGCTGAAAACTAAAAATAATCTGTAGAGATAAAATTATGTACATTTGACTATCTCGAAACCTTGCACAACTGTTGAGTTGAATATGACCCACCAACCTTAACACATAAAGCTAAACATCTCATTTGATTTCACTTTTCTCATAGTCTCATTCCCACCACACCCTTTCTCTTATATTGAGAGAAAAATGATAGTCTAATGAAAATATAGATGAATTTAATTGTTGAATTGTGTGCAAAAGACAAGTTAAGCTCAACTACATATTGGCAAGAGCCCCACTTCTCTGTCTCTCCCCTTCCTCCCTCCTTCCTTTCTCTCTCTCTCTCTCTCTCCACTGCTTCCTGATCTTCTTATCCCTCTCCCAAACAGTTTGCTACTATCCATAGAACTCAGAAACTGATTCAGATCTTTGTGGTCTTTATGGACACCCAATTACACCACCAAAAGATGAGAGAAAAAGTGGAGGAGAAGCAAAGTGAAGCCAAGCAAGCAAATCAACTCACTGCAGCAGCCTCACCACCTTCAACTTCTTCCTCTCCTTCACATGAATTCTCCTTCACAATCTCCCTCCACCCAACCACCACCGCCACAACCTCCCCGGCCGATAAGGCAAGGACCGCCCCTCCTTCAATCGCCATCGACTTATCTCCGGCGGATGACATTTTCTTCCACGGCCACTTGCTCCCTCTCCACCTACTCTCCCACCTCCCCGTCTCTCCTCGCTCCTCCACCAATTCACTGGACAGTTTTACCCTTCCCATTCGAGAACTCATAGAAGACCAACACCAAAACCCAAACAAAATCACCACGAACAACATCAACAGTAACACCGATAACTTTCATCATCAAACCATCAATAGTAGTAGTACTCATGAAACCAAGGCGAGAACCAAGTCCAAGTCATTCTCTTTCTTCGGGCTATCGAAATGGCGAAAAGGGTGTGAGGTTAGAGACACAGAGAAGCCCAAGAAGAAGATTAAGCTGAGGTTTGATGTAAGTCATGTTTTAAAGAGGTATATAAGGATGGTAAGGCCACTCTTGTCCTTCAGAGGCGGGAGGAGATCAGAAAATGTACAGTTTTACCGCCAACCTTATTCGTTTTCGGGTAATTTAAGCAGCTTGAGAGGGAAACAAGAGTTGAGAGGAAGGAGGAGAGGGGAGCTGGTCTCAGCACCGGCGTCGATGAGGACTTCTCCGACGAATAGTGGCCTCCTTGTTGCAACTGAAACCATTAACAGTAGCTCTACAAGCAATAGCACCATGGAAGAATTGCAGGCTGCAATTCAAGCTGCAATTGCTCACTGCAAGAACTCCATTTCAGTGGAAGAGAAAGTCAAATGCTGAGAAAATGTCAATTTTTCATATTTTACTACAGTCCATTTTCTACATATTACTTTTCTGTGTATAAAATATGTGTATATAGTTTTATGAAATGTGTATGAATTTGAAGATGGGTTTTCAACAAATGCTTATGTGCATGTGTGTACTTTCTTTTCTTTTATGGGTGCAAATAGGTGCGTTTAGGTTTAATTTGGTCATTGGTGACCATTTGAAATTTGAAAATCAAACCATTGAATATTCCAAAGAATTTTTCGTTGCTGTCCAATTTTTTCAATGCTGATGGGCACGTGTAGTTTTCTACCATATAGAATCTGACATAAGTTTGTTATGTTATCCGGTAACATTTGTGTTTGTGTACACCCTAAAAACTAGGCTCTATCAAAAGCTGTGCCCTAAAAAGATCAACATTTTCACTTGTCTCCGACGAGGAACTTTCTTCCACTATGACGTGATATAATAATAGAATAACACGAATTTATTTTAAATTTTATTAATTTTTTTTTCTTTATATATTTTAAGTTTTGAAAAGACCCCTGTCATTATATAATTATACTGCATAATCGTGTAAAAACAAAGAACATATATTTGGTATGTCCAGCTCAATACACTATATGCATCCAATATTGTATATATTCTCGTTGAGGAAGTTGCTCCTCACACCTGTGTGTGGTCTGTGTGGAGTCAGTATCAGTACGTTTAATAAATGACATCTTTTTATTCTCAATTTAAGAAATATAAAGCTCATGACATTGTGTAAGAACAAACTGGAGTTAAATTAACGTTCTTGGGACATCCAAAAATCTTTATGTGATACATCACAATCAACATCTAATACAATTTGTCTATTTCCTATTCTGTTTATTTCATGACAGTTAAGCAAGGTCACACCCATGATCATGATGAACTGCCCTATACATACATACATATATAATTATATATATATAGACATAACATGTTGCTTGCGGGAGGTGGTGTTAATTATCGTTCTAATTATTTAGGGTTCATAAATGTTTCAATTTCACATTGCCGTTGAACAAATTAAAAGTACTTATATTTTAAAATTTTATTTTTGTTATCGACCAAACAAAATAATTTGAGACGGTACAGATTATTTCACTAAAGCTTTTAGTTGAAGTTTTTAAGTAGGTAAACATTTTTGACTTTTGAGGACGGTTAATTGTAGTTACGATAGGGACTATTTTTATAGTTAATACATTATTTTTATTTTTATAGTGCATTATATTTGTAAAAGATAAAAGTGAATGGTTTAGTAGAGAGGGGAGAGGGAGAGGGAAGTATAGTGGTGATGGGATAATCACACTTTTTGAATTTTAGTTGAAATAAAATTGTATAATTGAGTTTTTGTTATTTGTAAATTATAGAAGTGAATGATTTAGTAAGAGAAAGAAAGAATTATAGTGATAATGAGAATCACACTTTAGATATAAGATGGTTTGACGAGTGATAAATAATTATAGATGATAATAAAGATAAATAATTGATTTTAATATAATAAAAAAAAGAAGTATAGAATGAAGTGAAAAAAAAGAAATAAAAAAAAGAAGGAAAGAATACAATTCAAAAAAAATAAAAAATAAATAATGCATTGACATAATATAAGCTATATACACATTTATGTTTTATATATGGACACACAAACACACGATGGAAGGAGGAAAGAAAATAATAGTCAATAAACAAAAGAGAGTAATATTGTCTTATAAAATAAGATTTTAATTCTTCATAAAAGTAGTAGAGGTGTATTAATTATATTTACTTTTTTAACCAATCACATCTGCAACTGTTTTTGGACAGTCAGTACTACTATTTAAAAATTCAGAAAAAATAAAAATTTTTTCTGAAGATTTTAACACTGTTTAGCGATAATAAACATATTTTTTTACCTAAATTTTTTGGAAAAAAGTTTTAGAAACTATAAACCAAATAAATTTTTTTGTACAATTTTTTTGATTTTTAATTCCTTCAAAGTTGTTTTCCTTCCACAAATTGAAATCACAATGACGTGTGTTAAATTAAAACTTAAAAGTAAGAGTGAAAAGGTCAAAGGTCGCCTGTCCCTTGGTCCCTACGAAAAAAGCAATTTCTTCTTTGAGATAAGTTGTGGGGTCTGTTAAAAGAGACTGCACCTCATTTGAGTTGATTGCCTTTATTGGGTGTACTATTTATTCATTGAAATTTTTGTTTAAAGGAAAAAAAAAAAAGGTAACAATGAGGTGGATAAAATGTAAGCATGAGCTCTGCATTTTTATTTTGATCTACCAAAAATTTTTTTTTTTTTTTTTTGACCTTTTGAAAAAAAAAAAAAAATTCCATTGGAGGATCGTGCGAAAATAAAATAATTAAAATTTTATATCAAAATTCATTTATGGTAGATTATACAAGCTTACTTGATTTGTAATTCTGAAAATAGTTCTTAATAATGGAGAAAATATGAAACTGTTTTCAGATAAATATAAAATATAGTTTTATGAAAATAGGCCAATTTTTAGAAAATTGAATCAAGGAGAGTTCTTTTTTTTTTTTTTTTTTAAATACAATTTTCAATTTTTAAAAAATAAAAAATTATTCTTAAAGTTATAAACTAAGCATACTCATAGTATTTTTATTAGATTTCATCTTACTTTGTTATATAGTATGACATTTTAACATGTGCAAGTAACGTGAAAGATGTTTTGACACAAGCTATCGGGTGTGACAAAATTATGATGATCAACAAAAAAATCAAATTAGGTAATGGTCTTTATTGAAAATGCACAATTTTGATTTGATGCATCAGAATTGACAAGCAAGGACTCAAATGTCCAACCATCAATAAAGCCAAAAACTCCACGAAATGGGTGACAATTTGATGGCTCAAGCACAATTTTTAGGAACTTGTGGTGGAATTCTATTAGTAAATATTTAGGTAACTGAATGAAAATGGAAAGAAGGATTGTACAGATGTGTGGTGCAAGCAAAATGCACTTCAAGCTTCAAGCGTGAAGTAATAAGCGTTTTTTGGTTTTTTGTTTTCAATTCAAGATACCGATTTAGTGTTTTTAGCAAAGCTCAAGTAATATCGATTACGCCCGAGTATTACAATATGTATATTCATTCAAGATAAGTTGTAGTTTGTACTCAATGTGTGTGTATTTTGGCTTTTTTATTTTTATTTTTATTTTTGAATACTGTCAGTGTCAGCTCAAAAGGGAATTCGAACTCTTGACCTCTAATGAGATAAAAATTGCAAGTTCTTGATTTGTACTCACAATATTCTTATGTGAAAAGAAAAATGTAACGACCCACTCAGTATTACACCTTTTTCTTACCCTGTGAGATTGTACACCTGTAACTCGCCTAGTGTGGTAGCTGGCCAATATCTCGCACCCACCCATAAGGTTACCACAATCACTCTCTTGGGCCCAACGTTCTCGTTTATCATACTTTCGATTAAGTCAGACTCTAATACTATTTGTAACGATCCACTCCACCACATATAAATATTACACATTTTTCTTATCTACGCGATATGAGATTATACACTTATAATTCACCCAATATAATAATCTATCAGTGTTTCGCGTACGTTCATGACACATCCGTTCACGAAAACAATGTGCAAGCATTTTATTTTTTAAGATGAAGTTGTAGGGTCTATCCAAAGAAAAAAGGAGATTGCAACTCAATGGGCGTGGGTCTCCTGAGTTGATAGCCATGATAGGTATGGAATTTTATAAAAGTACCAAGTACAACAATTATTAATGGTAACAATAATTCAGATTGTAATTGGTCTATTTTTTGATATCTGAGTCACACGAATCCATTAGGGTCTGATGTTTCCAACTTCCACTTTCCACTATTTGTTATGATGAGACGATGATGTTGAATTGCAATGGTTTGACAAAAAGACTCTTCACATTTTAATGATCATATATATATATATATATAAATGTTGTCCCATTTTGGATAAAAGCCCATGCCCGCACATGGAAGTGCAATCTTTTTCCTTTCCCCGAGTGAGTTTTTGAATCATGACACTTTAAGAATACTAAGTGCAAAGTGCACAATAACAAAACAATTTTTCATTTAGAAAATCTGGTTTCAATGGCATGCAAAATTTTATCAGCTTTTCAATCAAGAGAATTTCGAGAAGATTTTAATAATTTTTTGGAGATGCTTATGGGAGCACTGAATCGAACGCATTAAAAATAAAATGACGCAGGACAAAATTTTGGATAGTCTGCTAAATCCGTTTTTGACACGAAATGAGTGTTTTTTTGGTGAAAAAAATTCATTGAGAAAAAATCACTAGCTTTTTATCTTTTGGACCATGCCGATTTTCAGCTGAAAACCTTCATTTAGGGCTCCGAAATTGTGTTTTATTGTGTTATAGGAGGTCTACTGATTATTTCGTAATTTTTGTTTAAGGCCTAAACGAATTCGGATTGCTCAAAAATTTTAGATGTAGTAGTTTTTGTTGATTAGATTTCTTAGAGCATCTCCAGCGGTATGTTAAAATATCCTTTAGTGTAAAATATACACTGTTACCTATGATGTGTAAATTTTTTCCATCTCCAATAGTCTGTTAACCTACATTGCCACATCACCAATGTGTTAAAGGATTATGTAAAATACACAACCTTTTTACATGGCCAAATCAACATATTTCTTTTTTCATCCCTCTTTCTCATTCCGTTAAAGAATTAACCATATATTAAATAAGTTTGTAAGAATTATGTGGGCCTTGCCATGACATATGGTTGATTATTATTAGGAGATATATTTTTACACAAAAGGTATAAAACAACAGTTGGAGCTAAATTTAAATAATTCAATTTTTTTTTTTGTGTAAATCCATCATGACACATCAGATTTACACAAAAAAATATACACAACGATTGGAGATGCTCATATTATATTTTTTTCAGAATTTTTAAAGAGAATTTATTTTAAGAATTATTTCTAGGATTAATTTCTTTGGGTTTTTAGTTTCCTTTTAGTGTTAGATTTTCTTTTTTATAAATATTCATGTATTGCAAGAGCATAATTTAACTTTTGATTAATAATATTTCAGATTGCTTTGCAAATTTTATTCAACTTTGTGGATTCAAAGTTACCTACTTTATGGACTCAAAGTAACTCCGT